TTATTATACCTTATTTTCATTTACTCAGATTCCGATAGCATCTCGAGTCTTGCACCGGCCGGGTATACAATCTCTTACTACAAGCTTGTCAGTCTTGGTCATTAAACAGAGGCGATTAACCACTCTCCTAAAAAGGCAGAACACTACTTACTCAATTTAGGAGATTTTTATGTGGTCCCCATGGATCTGTTATCTACTTAATCAAGACAAAGTATTTTAATAATAATCGCGCAGGATTATACTATTGTAGATGAAGGCCTAAATATCCACATTTAAAGTAGTTTCAACAATATTTTGTTGTTCTAAATAGTTGGCCTTTTACAGTCCAAGTATACATGAAATAATGCCAATTTGTTAGTCGGATCTCTAACAACATTGTATAGCGTGCCACGCTGCTCCGTCTAACATGTTTTAGTCCGTTACTAACCTGTACAGTGGCTTGTAGTGCTATGGACAACAACATTTATCAGTGATAATAACACGAACTCTGTTTGAATCATTCAAAACATAACAATTTATTAGTCAGGTAAATGTATTATGCAAATTCAATCAGTCAATTCATAAACGATCAATACAAAACATCAAATTATCAAAGATAAATCCAAGATGAAAAAGATGCATTCCTGACTTTGTAATATACATAACATGGGGCAAGCCATGTTATGGGCTGATCTGGTTAGGCAGAGTCGCCCTGAGTCCTTCTTAGGCCTTACCTTAAATAATCCAAGGATTCCCTCAAGGAAGGGGGTGTGAATGTATAACAAAAGGCATTCACACTTAGTGTCACACCCCTCACAGTGGATCAAAAGATGCCTGAAGTTATATATTTATTGTTCTGATTATGTCTATTTCTGAGAGAATGAGACCATTGTACCAATCGCACTGAGACATTTCAAATGATATCAAACATGATAGTTAAAGTCAGTTTGGTTAATTCTAGAACATTCAAACATTGAAATGACCATATGTGTGAGTTGGGGGGATGAAGCAGACTCAGATGCAAATGCAGCAGGAACTGGTTTTTCCCGCATTCCCCTTGCTGAGTTGTGAAGTTACCAGTCTCTGTTTTCAGCTCATGTTTTGAATTGTCAAAGACATCAGAATATTTGCAATATTTCAATTCTTACATTCAGTAATAAATTAAGTTAGTTATTTTAGGTGTTACAGGTTTTAGTAATTTATTTATGGCAAGTGTAAGTACTGTTCACTATCAATAATGAGCAATACTTGTTTTTGCCAAAAAAACATAAAAGTATTATTTTTATATTAACATGAGAAGGAAATTATTTGTACGGTAATAAATTTTTTTTTTTACTATTATTATTACATTAAAACATTATATAGACTAATTTAGACTGAACTGTACTGTATGTACTGTTTAATTCTTGTTTTCTTAAATAAAGAACTAAAACTTGCTGCACCTAAAAGGACTTATACTTAATTTATTACTGAAAATTGTCATAAATTTAGCTTGTCAAACTTAATTCCTTTAATTGTAACAAGTTAAAGAAATTTGTTTAAGTTTTCACTTTTTACAGTGCAATAAGAAAAAACACAAAAATAACAGAACACATACTGTAAAAAACCCATCAGTCATCTTTATCAAATGAAATTAGTGTAATTAACTCAAATTTTACTTAGTTAATTCTACTCATTTGAAAAGATTTTTTAACTTAGTGTTAAAGGCAATGAGTTAATTAAATACCTTAACACTTCAACTTAAATGGAGTAAGTTCACAGTACTCATATACTCATAACTGAGTTTTTTAACTCAAATGGTTTGTTGCAATCTGTTTCCTCAAACTGTTTGAGTTGCCCTAACTTATTGGGTTTTACAGTACTCAATTGGTTTGAGTTTCTTTCATTTATTGGGTTTTACTGTGCTCAAATGGATTAAGTTCACAGTAATCATTAGGATTAGTTTTTTAACTTAAATGGTTTGTTGCAATCGTTTGGGTTTTACAGTGTAGTCTCACATTACTATATTTTCATATAAAAAAAAACACCAACAAACTATCATAGCACATATTTTAATATTACTTTCTTTCTTCCACATTAATAAATAAACAAAATAGCAAATACTTTCACAATAGCAAAGTAAAAGAGTCTGTTATGTTATTTTTATGTGCTTTATTACATAATATACAAAGATAGACTTAAGATTGTAATACATTACTTTTTTTACCCAACACTGTCTATAATTTATATTTTGATTTCATAAAACGAATTTGAAACAATTTTTAATGATGAATAATTTAATTTGATACATACACAAAAATGAGGTGTCTCATCATTGACCCATTTATTGAAAGCTTAATTTGGTTGTAAATAAATATACAAGCTCATGCAAACAAAGACGCAAATGAAGCTCCGTTCGCTATGATTGAGCTTACGGAAAAGAATGATTGCCACGCAGGGTGACTGTCATGTGCACAGGTGACGAGAAGCGTTAATCACAGAGATCACTGATGAGGCTGATTAACTGTTTTTGTCAACTGAAACAATTATTGTACTGTCTCTCATCCGTTACTCACAGCTTTTATTCACATATTACCTATTTTTTTTACACTTTAATAGATCCTTGTGATATGACTCAATCAAAGAAAGAGTAGATTCAATCAAAATACCAGGACATGCATACAATTTTGAGATGCTTCTAAAAGAATTGTCTAATGATTATGCATGCAACATTGTGGAATACAGTATATTTAGAAGTTTTACAACTTTAAACAATGCTTTTAACATAATTAAACGTTGAATGGAATTTGTTTCCGGGATTTTAACTTGCTGATTTTTACATTTTTTATTATAATTGTTGAAAAATACATTACACATGATGCTGTACAGTAAATTCCACCGATCAGAGAGCAGCAGGGAGAATAGCACACCAGAGGTATTTAGCTCTGCCCACTCGAAAGTATCAGACATTTGAAATGTGTTTCTAGCTAATTGTAATTTAAAGTTTGACGCATATTCTTCTTAGCTGTCAATTTGTTTCATTCACCTTTTGTATGGCTATGTTTTTGTAATTGAAGATGATTGAATAACTGGAGCGACATGATTAATATTTTTATTTCAGGTCCTTGTTAAAAATGTTGTTTAAATAAAAGATTAAAATGTACTTGCAGTTAAATCACCCCCATGTTCCAAACTTTAGCATATATTTTGAGGAATGTTTAACCAGTAGTGTGACATCAGGCAAACTGGGCCACTTTTTTATTATTATTATTTATTTATTTTTTTTTGTTAATCGATTGTAACAACTTCAAAAAACAAAACATTTAAGACATTTTTGGGGGCCGTTCACATGTACGTTCTTTTTGATGGAGGTGGCTTGCAATCGGTTTTGACACATTATCTGTCAGCTGATTTTTTGAGATGTGAAATGGGCCTGGTGATCAGCAAAAACGGGCCAATCAGACTGCTCATTTTATCCTAACACATTCAGGTAAATTGTGCCAGTAACTAGAAATGGTTAGAAAAACTAGATTATTTCATAAAATCAACATTTTATTTCAGAGAGGCCATCAAGACATGGAATATAAATTATTATTTCCTAATGTACATTTATATTGATTTATCATCACTGACAAGTAATATTGGATACCAGGCCACTCACTTTGTCTATGGAGTGGTCTCAGAATGAGGCATTGCCACCCCACACCATCCCCCCCCCACCACCACCCCCCCACCCCCGTTAGTAACCTCAGACCAATAAATCCATTAACTAAATGTCAAGTACTGTTACGCCAACAGTTTGAAATTCTTTGCAGTTATTGGCTGTTATTGTCATTGTGCAGTGCTATTGATTTGATCAAAGATTAGTGAAAAGATGATGCCAAAGTACTCATAATCCTGGACCAGGTCGTACCCTGAGCAGATCCTGTGGCGGTCATAGAGCAGGGGAGAGCATGAGACTGATTCCTGAAAGACCCCAGTGACAGACGAGTCTTCGAATTGATCCCATGAGCCAGCTTGATCACCTGTCAGTGTCTCACACCTGCAGCTTCTCCACGATGGACAAAACACTATAATTGTGAAATAAACTCTCCAGCCTCCGGTGCCTAGACTGCAGCTCTGCACAAGTAGGCTATCTTGGCCAGAGGAGAAATGTTCGTGCCCAACTGCGCCTGGTTTCTCTCTAGGTTTTTTCCCTTCACTTTTGTCAATTGGTGAAGTTTGTTCCTCGTCACTTTCGCCACTGGATTGCTTGGTTTGAGACTTGTGGTGCTGCGCATCAATGGATTTGCTCTTTAGTGAAAATTAAACCACACTGAACTGAACTGAACTTCAACTCTGAAAACTGGACTGACACTGTTTCATTTTACTAGAACTTCTATGTTAAGCTGCTTTGACACAATCTACATTGTAAAAGCGCTATATCAATAAACATGAACTGAATTGTTAAAATTTTTAAAGAAATAAGAACCATAAATGGTCCATTTTATCTGATGTCCTAATCTGCATGATGTCACCCAATAATAAATTCCATAATAGGAAAAACAAAAACCATGAATGTCAATTTTTTACCGTTTTCCAACATTTTAAAATATATTTTCTTTTGTGTTAATCTCAAACAGGTTTGTGACAAGGGAAGGGTGAGTAACTAAATGATGACAAAATTGAAAATATTTGGTGAGCTGTCCCTTTAAATACTTTACGATTGCAAAAAATAAAAAGGCGTATTAATATTAATTACAAATTAATTTCTAGTTGGCTGTCTATATGGCCACAAATGTAAAAAAAAAATAATAATAATAAAAATTACTTCTTTTTGGCTAAAGCAATACATTTTCATTGACTCAGATAGAAAGAATGGTGCTTTATAGATATCTACAATCAGATTTCATAACTTAGGCGTTTCGACCAGCCAATAGATCAAACAAAGCTTGCTGTTTTAATTATTAAATGTTTAAACAGCCTGCCATACTATAATAGTCATGTATTCTGACAGAAGGCACTTCCGCTAGAAGCAGATTGGTCTGCACTCGGTGACATCACGTTGATGATGCTTTGTGGGGCCGCCTAGAGATTTAATTACGGATCTCTGTTCGCACAAAATATTATACGAGCCGTTTTTCCTCGCGTTTACCCTATTTTTGAGGATTTAAATGTGTATGATTTTATCATTTGCTAAGAACAAAGACCTTTCCTCAGAAGATAAAAGCCGTTTTCGAGTGTCTTTTCACCGGACGCGCGCATTGATTCTGGAGCCAGTGTTTTTGTTAGTGAGCGATCCTGGGACGAGCGCTCGGTCTGTCGGCATGTTAGGATACCCGTCTGAAGGATTATAAACCACCGGTAAAAACAGTACTGCAGTCGCTTAAGTAAGTATAATAACCCGACAGATGAAGAAGAAAGACATAGGTGGGGTATTTAGGCTATACATCACCTGTAGCAGCGCTTCACGGCTGGAAAAAAACCCGTCTTAAACCAGCCTAAGATGGTTTGCTGGTCGCAGCTGGTTTAAGATGGTCTCCAAGCTTGTTAAACAGTCTTCGCTTGGGAGACAAGCTGCATTAACAGATAATAAAAGTAGACAAATCTTAGAACCAGACAGTAGATCAGTCTGAGTATTTTAAACCATACGAAACTGCACATAGACACAATTATATTTCACAATTATTGTGTTTTATATAAATGAAGATGAATGCATATGCATAATATGTTTGCATATGTGAATAATAACGTTACATAGCATAATTTACGATGTAGGAATAATAGGTAGGTTTGTCAGAGCTGAGATTAAAAATATTATGAAGAATTACATATTTAGGCTAATACATACTGTATGTACTTAGATGCAAAACGTGTTACTCCGTATGATTTTGTTTTCCTTTTATAAGAATGTACTTGTGTTTAATATTTATTATGTATTAATAATAATGTAATATTTAAGAATAATAGGGTTGTAACAGCTGAGACAACAAATGTATATGAATTATTTATAGAGTGTAGATGCAAATCCTCTTGGTCCATCTGACATGTTTTCTTTTAAATTAGAATTTTTATGAGGCTCCTATGTTTTATGTTCAGTAATTTTTCTTAAATTGACTATTAACATTTTCACTGTTGTTAAAACTGAACTGAACCTAAACATAAGGTTCTAATAAAGATGCCTAATAAAAATAAAAACAACAATCAGACGTTTGTATCTGAAGTGTTCATATTTTCATTTCATTTCAGCTTTATTTGTATAGCACTTTTACAATGTCGATTGTGTCAAAGCAGCTTCATATAAATTAAATTAAATAACTAAAAAATAAATGAAATAATTTTCATATACATAAATAATGTGTATGTGTGACTATAAATAATTTATACATCATTTTCTATTCTAAAGGTTGGTGAAATCCAAGATTTAAAACAGTGATGGACCATTTGGCGACCACTAGTAGCACCCAGGGGCCGGCCCTGTGTGAACCCTCTTATCCTCCCTGTAAAATGGCTCGTATGGAGAATTGTAGAGATCTGCCTGTACCTGGAGTCACACCTGTTAGCTCCAAACAGACATCACACACTAACAGGAGGAAAGGTATTCATTAATGGCCATAAATGTAGTATACCATATCAGTTCATCCCATTTTTCTGAGTAATATAGTTCCTCTTTCTTTCAACGCAGGTAGTTTACTTCCAGTATTCTGCATGGTGGAACAAAGCGATGTCCCACCATCCGAAGGGAAGCGGTCGGAGCATGCAGAATTTGTGCTGCTGAAGAAAGACCTGCTGTTCAGCCAGATTACAGAAGCTGCATTGCAAGAGCTGGGATACACACACACCGCAGCGGCTCTGGCTACAGGTACACACACACACACACACACACACACACACACTGATGAATAATTCACACTCAATTCCAGTTGAATATTTAAGCCTAAAGGATAGGGACGGAATAGACTGCGACTATGAAAAAAACTACAACCGGCATTATATTATCTTACATTTTATGCTTTATACATAAGTTAGTATTTAGAAAATTGGTGTGGGTAAAAACTGTTTAAAAAAAAAAACAAGTGTTTTATTCTCATCAAGGTTATTCTGCTCAAACAAATATTGTGATATAGTAAGATTGTGAAAGAAGTTTCCTACTTTAATATATTTTAGGATGCAATTCGGAGCTTAAAATAGCTTTTTTAAAGGGATAGTTTACCCAAAATGAAAATTATGTCATAATTTACTCACTCTTTACATGTTCAAAACTTGTTGGAGCTTCTTTCTTCTATTGAACAAAAGGGAAAATATTTTGAAGAAAGCTGGAAACTGCTAACCATTGACATTTTTAGTATTTGTTTTTCCTACTATGGTTTCTAACATTTTTTAAAATATCTTGTTTTGTGTTTAGTAGAATATAGAAACTCATAAAGGTTTGGAACCACTTAAATAAGGAGTACATATTAATTTTTGGGTGAACTATCCTTTTACATTCATTGTGCTGAAAATGTTAGTTGTTCTGCTTGAAGGGATAGTTTAATAAAAAATACAAATTTTGTCATAATTTACTCTCCCAAGTGTTTCAAACCTGGATGTAAAATAAAAATAATAAAAAACAAGATATTTTGAAGAATTGTGTAAACCCGCTGCCATTGCAAATGGTGAACAAATTTAATATTTCTAATGGAGACCATGATAGAATATTTACAAGATTCTGTGATTAATGGAAAGGTCACAAAAACAGTATTTTTAATCAATGTAATGCATCCATGCTAAATAAATGTATTAATTAAATCTAACCAAGCCCATGCCTCTGAACAGAGTACGTATAATTAAAAATGTTTTCAGCAATTACATCTGATTATTTTAACTGCAATTCAATATATTTAATAAATAAACCTTTTAATGAAATCTAACCTAACCCAAACCTCTGAACAGAGTACATACATACAATTAAAAATATTTTCAGCAGTTATATCTAACTGATAATTTGTAACTGCAGTGAAATATACTTAATAAATAAAAGTATTAATTAACTCTTATCAATCCCATGCCTCTGAACAGAGTACATACAAACAATTAAAATATTTTCAGCAATTATTTCTAACTGATCGTTTTAACTGCAATTTAACATTTTCAATATATAAAAGTATTGATTAAATCTAACCGAGCCCATGCCTCTGAACAGGGTACATATAATTAAAAATATTTTCAGCAGTTATATCTAACTGATCATTTTTAAATGAAATTTACTAAGTTACACAATTAAAAAGTATCAACATTGTCTTCATCTACAATCCCAGATAATTTTACTTGCCTTGTACTGATTTTTTTTTTTTTTTTCAAATCCACACGTGCCTAATTTTACTGCTTATGCTAATAATTATGAAACATATTTAACTTGTATGATGACCAAATTAAGTATTAAATCATGCAATGTTTGAAAATCCGAGGTGTGGAATAAAGATTAGAGAAGGAAGTGCAGAAAACATGTCAGAAGCTAACAATAAGTGGGACTTCCGGTATGCCTCGTGGAGACTAGACGCAGGTGGAAGTCACTCCGTGAACATTCGTGTATTTTTTCTATTAATCTCAGTTATCTTTGTCTTAAATCTATAAAGTAAGCAACGCTGCATCATATCTATACGCAAATATGCCAAAACCGGGAAAATCAGGACGAAATATCGCTGAAATGTTGGCTGAAAGAGGAGGCGAGCAGGCCGCTAACGCCTCGCCGAGGGAGGATGAGCTAACACCTGCTTCTCTGAAGGAGATAATTACGACTACCATTCGCACGGAAGTGTCAACATTACGAACTGAATTCTTATCCGAGCTCCGTTCTGCCGTGTCCACTCTGCAATCAACCCTCTCACTACAAGCTCAGAAGATTGTGGACATTGAAACCGCACTTAATGACTCGGACGGCCGCTTGACAGCGATTGAGGCACTATGCAACGCACTGAAAAAAGAAAACGGCTCCCTTAAACTCAAAGTGGATGATTTAGAGAACCGCTCGCGGAGGCAAAATCTGAGGATCATTGGAATACCTGAGGGATTAGAGGGTCAAAGTCCGGTTACGTTCATGATTTCACTTTTTATTGAACTTTTCGGAGACAGTGCCTTTGAGAGACCACTACAAATTGACCGCGCTCATCGCACCGGCCAAAAAACACACCCGAACGCATATCCTAGGCATATGCTCGTCCGTCTCCACCACTATCAAACCAAAGAACTCATTCTGAAACTAAGTCGTGAACGAGGCTCTTTGGAATTCAACGGTGCGACGATTCGCATTTTCCCGGACATGTCTGCTGAAGTGGCGAGGCAGCGAGCCGAGTTCAAAGATGTGAAAGCTTTATTTCGCAGCGCTGGCGTAACCTATGGCATGCTGCATCCTGCTAAACTACGCGTCGATTACAAGGGACAACGGCATTTCTTCCAAACCCCACAGGCTGCGATGGAATTCTTCACTGCTAACATCAAGAATGCAGCGAATCAGGTTTGATCGACGTAACAGTTAAATGGTCCGAATCAAGAACTGAAGTAAAATTAAGAACTGAACTGACATCTTTGCAAAACGAGTGAAGCCTCAAAATAAATAAAATATGCAATACCATAGCATATTTACCCAGTTTCTGTGCGTTAAAAATACTTTACTTTTTATAGTCGTATGTGATTTTAAGTCAGATACATGTATGCGTTGTCTACTGTTTATTGAATCATTTCTATATTTAAGTCAGATACATGTATGCGTTGTCTACTGTTTATTGAATCATTTCTATATACATATATCCGTTCACGGAGCGCTGCCGAAATGACAGCCAAAGTTGAAAGTTGAAACTGTTTACTGGTTTCTTATTCACCTGACTGTAATGTTCTTTTCAGTTAGGTTTGTTATGGATGCTACTTTCCGTGACCGTTCTGGTCACGTGGGGGGGACACGGGTTCTTTTTATGTTTTTTTGTTTGTTTTTGGTTCCTTTAGATTTCGTTATGTCTGCTCATTTTGTTTATGCTCTCCATTCAAACACTCTTGACTACTTGAGAAATATCAAGTTATTGTTTAACATTAATGTCAAATGATACCTACCAAGATAGACGGGGCAGGGTTAATATAATTAGTTGGAACGTTAAAGGCTTAAATAATAAAGTGAAGAGTGTGAGGGTTTTTTCTAAGCTAAACAAATTAAAGGCCAATATATGTTTTTTACAGGAAACCCACCTTAAAATCTCGTGCCAAAAAAGCCTGCAGAGGTCATGGGTGGGACAGGTTTTCCATTCAGGCTTTAATAATAAAGCAAGAGGCACTGCCATTTTAATTAATAAGAATACACAGTTCAAACCCTCCAATATTATTTCAGATCCCAACGGCAGATACGTGATTGTGCCAGGCATCCTCTATAATAGTCAAGTTACTTTAGTAAGCGTTTACGCACCTAATTGGGATAACCCAGATTTCTTTACTACACTCTTCTCTAAACTCCCGGACCTGAATCTTTATCAACTGATTATGGGAGGTGACTTTAATTGCATTCTAAACACAGTTCTTGATAGATCATCCCCCAAATCAACCCTTCAATCTCAGTCTTCTAAAACAATTAATTCTTTTTTAGAATTGTGTGGAATAACTGATATTTGGCGTTTCCTAAATCCTACTTCTAAAGTTTTTTCCTTTTTTTCTCCTGTGCACCATACTTATACACGTATTGATTATTTTTTCATTGACAGTAAACTTATTTCTCGAGTGAACTCCTCCTCATATGACACTATAACTGTTTCAGATCATGCTCCAGTAATTCTTGAACTGGTCTTTCCTGGAAGCTATTCATTTTGTACTTGGAGAATGAATGCTTTACTTTTATCTAAGAGCCATTTTGTTGAGTTTCTTTCAGAAAAGATCTCTACATTTCTTGAAATCAATTCAACGGATGGGATTTCTTCATCTTTACTTTGGGAAACACTTAAAGCATATTTACGTGGAGAAATAATATCTCACTCAGCTTATATAAAAAAGGAGTGTAATAAGAAACTTTTTAAACTTTCTGATCAAATTGGTAAATTGGACCAAATTTATGCACAACACCCAAGCACATCACTATTTAATGAAAGAATCTTTTTACAATCTGAATATAACCAACTTTCTACTGCCCAAGCTGAGCAGCTTTTGCTCAAATCACGACACCTTTTTTATGAGTTTGGTGATAAACCAGGTAAAACACTTGCACTGCAACTCAGGCTTAAAACAGCAAAAAACTTTATCACCCAAATTCAAACCCAAGAAGGCATTATTGTTTCAGACCCTCAAGAAATTAATAATACATTTAAATCTTTTTACTCTTCATTGTACCAGTCAGACTCCCTTAAAGACCCTAACATTATTAGTAGATTTTTTGACAATCTTAATATTCCTCAAATAAGTAGTGAATTAAAAGCAAAAATGGATGAACCTATCAGCTTAGATGAAATTTCAAAATCTATTGCACAAATGCAAAGCGGAAAATCTCCGGGGCCGGACGGATTTCCCACAGAGTTTTTTAAAAAGTTTTCCGCTCAGATTTCACCTTTGCTTCTCTCTGTTTTTGAAGACTCTTTAAATAGTGGTAATCTCCCTTCTTCTTTGCGCCAGGCATCAATCTCTCTTCTTTTAAAACCTGATAAAAATCCATTGGAGTGTGGGTCCTACCGTCCTATCTCTCTTCTTAATGTAGATGTAAAAATCTTGGCTAAGATTCTTGCTCTTAGATTAGAAACTGTTATCCAAGATATCATACACCCTGACCAAACCGGCTTTATTAAAAACAGGCAGGCCTTTTTTAACCTGAGGAGGTTGATGAACATAATTTACACCTCATCTGACTCCTCTGTGCCTGAGGCCTTAGTCTTACTCGACGCGGAGAAAGCTTTCGACCGCGTCGAGTGGGACTATCTATTCTACACATTAAAAAAATTTGGGTTTGGTGACAAATTTGTTTCTTGGGTGAGACTCCTATACTCTTCTCCCATGGCGTCTGTGAAAACAAACAGCAATAGTTCTGATTATTTTCCTCTTCACCGTGGCACCAGACAAGGTTGCCCACTTTCCCCTATTTTATTTGCTTTAGCTATAGAGCCTCTTGCAATTTGCTTTCGCAATAATCCTGAGATTGCTGGTATTTTCAGAGCCGGAAAAGAACAGAAAATTTCTCTTTATGCTGATGATGTGGTATTGTATATTTCAGACCCAGAAACTCGTCTCCCGTATGTTCTGGAACTTTTGAGACAGTTCAGCGACGTCTCTGGTTATAAGTTAAATCTGCATAAGAGTGAGTTTTTTCTTATAAATCCTGCTCCAAGATCCTTTCCAGTGTCAATATTGCCATTTAAATTAGCCTCAGAAAATTTTCGATATTTGGGAATAACAATAACACGAAAATATACTGATCTTTTTAAACATAATTTTGTTGTAATATTAGAGAAAACAAAACAAGATCTAGCTAAATGGAAAACTCTCCCACTTTCTCTTGTAGGCAGAATAAACACAATAAAAATGAATATCCTCCCTAAATTTCTTTTCCTCTTTCAAAGTATTCCAATTTTCATACGAAAGTCATTTTTTAAGTCCTTGGATCAAGTAATTTCGGATTTTATTTGGAACGGTGGCCCAATAAGAATACAGAAATCATTTCTTCAACAACCCAAAAAGTTAGGTGGTTTTGCACTTCCTTATTTCTTAGTCTACTATTGGGCGACTAACATCCACAGTATTTTATATTGGAGCCAGTCACACTACGGACTCTGCCACTGGGTCCCAGAATGGGTTGAAATGGAATGCGATTCTTGCACCCAAGTGTCTTTGCATGCGTTAATATGCTCTTCATTACCATTAAAGACATCAAACTATTCCTCTAACCCTATAGTACTTAATAGTCTTCGAATTTGGTCACAATTTAGAAAACATTTTGGCTTTCAAACAATGTCTAGTCTGTCTCCCATATATAAAAACCCTTCTTTCCTGCCCTCTATCTCAGACCAATCTTTTGTATCATGGTTTAGAAAAGGCATTGTAAGCATTAATGACCTTTTTTGTGATGATACATTTGTTACATTTTCTTATTTATCAGAAAAATTTAACCTTCCCAAAACTCATTTTTTTCGATATCTTCAGACACGTGAATTTATACGAAATACTTTTTCCCATTTTCCCCTTGCACCTCCCAAACAAGAAATCGATCAGGTTTTAGATACAAAAATTTGTAAAGGTGCAGTCTCTAAAATTTATAAAACAATTTTTTCATTTATTAGACAGTTAGATTCCTCATCCTTTTTAAAAATAAAGCAGAGCTGGGAATCAGATCTCAATCATGTTTTCACAGACGAGGAATGGTCCAAGGCTCTGTCTCGTGTACAAACCTCTTCTATTTGTGCTCGTCATTCCCTTATACAATTCAAATTATTGCATAGAGTATATTGGACTAAGGCAAAAATATCTAAAATTAACCCTGGTTTTGATCCAATCTGTGATCGGTGTCGACAAGCTCCAGCAACTCTTCTTCATACTTTCTGGCTTTGTCCAGCGCTAAGCACTTTTTGGGCATCAATTTTTAAATCAATTTCTGAATGCTTTCTTTTAGATATTGAGCCATGCCCCCTAGTAGCATTATTTGGACTTAACCCTACAAATGTTTCTTTGTCATCTACACAATCAAATGCACTTGCTTTTTGTTTAATAATTGCTAAAAGGCTTATAACACTAAACTGGAAAAATCCTTCCCCACCCAGTTACATACATTGGATGCATGATCTGATGCAGTCTATGCAAATAGAAAAGATTAGATATACAGTTTGCGGTGATACTGAAAAATTTGACACTATCTGGCAACCATTCCTCTTACACTTTAAAAATAAAAATAATAAATAAATAAACATGTATATATGTATGTGTATTTGTATGCAAGTATATAGCTGACTTATCTTCCCTACCCCTGGCTTGGTTATGAGTGGAGAGTGTGTTTTTTTTATTTATTTATTTTATTTTTTGTTTTTATATATATATTTTATTATTATTTTATTTTCTACTGCTGTACCCTTTGAGTATTTGTATTTATATATTCTCGGCACTGTTGTTGTTGTTGTTGTTGTTTTTTGTTTTGTTTTTTTCCTTAATGCATGAATATGTAACTATATTTTATTCAGAGAGAAAGAAAACGTGAGCAAAATTGTATTCTACCACCACATTGGATCAGTTGATGTCTAATGATTCTGTGTATCTGATGCTGTGGCTCTCTGACTAACATATTTCAATAAAAACAGAGTTAAACTAGAAGCTAACAATAAGTGTCAAAAGGAACAGGAATTATTCATGGATCATATATACAGTACATTACCTGACTGAAGTCACCTGACCTATCCAAGTTTTAGGAACAACATATGCGAGTTTCAATAGATCTTCTGCAGTATTTGTGATGATTAAGATGCAGTTCAACAGGTTATTCATTAGAAAAATCTATCTTCTGCCATTTTTCTAAATAAACTAGAAGTTATTATTTGTTGCTCTTACAACTAGGATCAACGACAATACTTTTGTCAAGTAGTTTAGTGTGTATATATATATATATATATATATATATATATATATATATATATATATATATATGTATATATATATGTATGTATATATATATATTGTATTAATGTTCATATCTGCAATAGGTCAGATTCAAGTTGGCCATTGGAACCCTGTGGCTCTGTCCAGCGTGACAGATGTCTCTGATGCAACAGTAGGAGACATGCTTCAAGACCTATACCACGTTATCACCTTAAGAATAAAGCTGCACAGGTACAACACACACACATTCACACCACACACAAACACACACACACACACACATGCTCTAAGTATCACGTTTTTCTCAAAACAATCAGAATTAAAACTCCTCTGATTTATGATTAAGGCTAATTTTCGCAGGCAATTTAGTATTAAAACTAATTTCAAAATTATTAAAAGTTATTATAGCTATTAAAGTTTTGAGGATAAACACTTAATAATGTGGCTATTTGTGAAATAATAATTATTTGTGATTAATGTCCCACAGTGTAATTAATTACTGCAGTACATTGTTTTTCTTCTTTGTTTTTGTTTTTTTTTTCTCACTGACTCACGCACATTCTCTTCTCTCTCTCTCCCTCTCTCTCTCTCTCTCTCTCTTTCTCTCTCCCTCTCTCTCTCTCTCTCTCTCTCTCTCTCTCTCTCTCTCTCTCTCTTTCTCTTTCTTAGTGTTTCTAAATTAGAGGACTTGCCCGCTGAGCAATGGACTCATTCTACAGTCAGAAATGCTCTAAAGGATCTGCTTAAAGAGATGAATCAGAGCACATTGGCTAAAGAGTGTCCATTATCTCAGGTATGGCTTCTTAAAAATCTTTTTGTCTATAATAAGTCACTGTAAATAGATTTTACGGCTGGTAAAAAGTAACATTGCAATATCTAATGTCTATAGAACTTGTAGTATCACAGGATTCCTGATGAACAACAGCCTCTAAATAAATTATAGTATATAGGATCTCATATTTCCTGCGTTGAGTAGTACAAGTATCTACACAAAAGGCAGTATTATATGCCTAGTTACATTTCAAACATTCTGTACTTTATTCAGCTTAATAGCATGTACAGTTGAAGTCAAAATTATTCTGTGATTTTTATTTTTATTTTTTTAAGATATTTGTCTAATATTTTCCAATGATGTTTAACAGAGCAAGACATTTTTCACAGTATTATTAGCATTATCAAAGTCTTGGTGGTTTTATTTTGGCTAGAATAAAAGCAGTTAGTATTTTTCTTAAGCTCAAAAATTGTTATCTCTCTCCAGCAATATTTTTAGTTGACAGAACAAAACACTGATTTGCCTTATTATCCTAACTTACCTAATTAAGCCTTTAAATTGCACTTTAAGCTCAAAACTAATGTCTTAAAAATATCTAGTAAAATATTATGTGCTATCATCATGGCAAAGATAAAATTGGTTATTAGAAATTAGTTATTAAAACTATTATGTTTAGAAATGGGTTTGAAAAAAATCTACTCTCGTTAAACAGAAATTGGGGAAAGCATATACAGGGGGCTAATAATTCAGGAGGGCTAATAATTGTGACTTCAACTGTAGCTACAGAATAAAATAAAGCTAATTGCCTCATCTTGAGTATAAAGAGCAGAACTATGATCGAAGAAGCGCTCACTATCAAAGAAAACAACCTACCATTAAGATCCATCCTTGGTTTGAGAACCAGCTATTAAATGTATTGAGCAAGAAGACAAAAATCTTTAGCACATCCGTTCTGGACACATTTAGTCAGCCTAATTTAGTAGACTCAGTATGGCTAATTACTGTAACATGCTTTATAGGAAAAAAGGTTGCATCAGGTCGAAACTGCATTGTTGAGATAAATAAACAAACAAACAAGCAAAAAAAGACATTTGTGTCACAAAAATCTCCAAATGTTTACACCATTTTTAATGTTGAAGTGAATTTTAGATTGTGGAATGCACTTCTGGTTTGAGGAAAATTGTACTCAACAAGACTGAAACAGATTACTGTTACAATGTAAAACCCAATAAGTTAAGGCAACTCAAACCTTTTGAGGAAACTGATTGCAACGAACCATTTGAGTAAAAAACAACTAATTTATATGAGTATTGTGAGTTTACTCCATTTAAGTTAAAGTGAATTAACTTTTTACCTTCAACAATTTGAGTTTTAAGTTCTTTTCAAATGAGTAGAATTAACTTTCAGTAAATTTTGAGTTAACTACAGTTATTTCATTTGATAAAGTTGACTGTTGGGTGTTACTGTGTACAAAAAATCCCTATTTCTCAGTTGGATGAGCACTATATATATATATATATATATATATATATATATATATATATATATATATATATATATATATATAGCCAGAATATACATATGGCCAGAAACGTACTCTTCCCATAATGTTTTCCCAAAATTAGACGCATTTATGAAATGGTATTCAATTTATTATTTTTATCAGATTATTGAAAAATATACATATTTGTTACATAACTAAAAATACAGCACATAATTTTTGCTATTGTCACTTTTTTAGCATATGAACACATTTTGTCTCCGCTTTTGTTTTTGTTTGAAAGAGCATGATTTCATCAGTGGTAAACGGCACTTACTATGCCAGCATCTCTGCTGCGAGATGTCAAGAGTTCGGCCAGTGGTACAAACACTACAAGAGGACAAAAGCTATAATGGGTGAGTAGCTATTCAATGAAAAAATGCTAGTTTTACATTATAGTTCTCAAGTATTATTCATATGGTTTAATTTCATATGGATGTAATTTTGACAATACAGGTTAATGTGTTATAGTTCATGTATTGAAATCAGTTAGGCAGGGACAATGAATGATATTCAGCTGCCTCTTAACATTAATTAATGCTCCAAATAACATGAAAAATTATTGTTGATTTTAATATTATGATTTACTTTGTCAAAATAATGAGAAATTTTCTCTTAAAAATTACTTTTCATATTAACCAGATTTTTCTCATAATAATGAAATATTGTATAATAATAATAATAAGAAGAAGAATTAGAATTTGTCACGTAACAATGATTTACTTTCCAATAATAGTGATTCTCATAATATTAAGATACTTTCTCATAATAATCACTTACCTAGAAAGTTTCTCCTTAATTTACCTTGTTTTTGTTTTTATAATTATTCATATTAAACGAGGCTTCTGTAAAAAAAACTAAAAACAATACAACATTTATAAATGTAAGTAAATATATTATTTTAACATATTAAAAGTTTTAAAATTACCATTAATTGTATCTATACGTAATAAACAAAATAGATAGTTCGTTGTAAATTATTGTTGTAATGAATTAATATCAGTGTAATGATTGGTTTTATTGATGTTTGTTTTTCTGATTGTGGCTGCATTTATTTAAATAAAAAATACAGTAGAAACTGAAATATTGTTCTTTTGTAACAAAATGTTGTTTATTACACATATATGCTAAGAAAAATGTGTCAGTAAAGGCAAACAAAAAGAAACACACAGATTTCATCTTTATGCAAGCTAAACCTGTTATAGCTTTGGTATAGAAAAATACCCTAAGACCTGTTCTTGCACAATGGATTAAAGAAATGTCAGATAATCCTGCTCTTGAAAAGTTAGTGCTCAGCATAAATGAGTACTCCCCATTTTCAAAATGAATATTTGTATCCATTTCTTAGTAAATATGGGTAATATATATTGGTGCATTTGAAAAAAAAACTGATTTATTAGACATATATGTTTATTAAAATAATATTTTAGTCACCAAACATATTTAAAAATGGAAAGATAATACATTTAAATTCATGCAAAATATTACCAAAAAAAAAAAAAAACTACAAACTAAAACACTTCAACAAAATTGTAGGTATTTGTTGTTTCTCTTGATTTTCGCTGTTTTTGAAAATGTATTTAATATTTTTCCCTAACATTAAATTTGGGCTACTAATTTTTAAACCATTATTGTAAGTTATTTTGTTAAATAATTTCCAGATTTTGCTTTAGTGCTGACTAAACTAATGTATATGCACAAATATAATATTGTAAAACATCCTATAGAAAATATTAATTTAAATGACAGATTTGTGTGGGTGTACTCATAAATGCTGAGCACTGTATATAATCAGAGGTAAAGCAGAGACTTTAAAAAAAAGTGTGGTCTCCTTTTGGTAAATTTGTCTTTGGAAAGATGACTGTAATTTAAATATCAGTGTAATAATGTTTTTGTTTTGTTTATTATTAATTATTATATACGCACACACATTGGTCAACTTAAATAATTTTTTATTGTTTTTTTTTTATTTTAGAATTTATTTAAATGTCATTTGTGTTTCCTTTAGGGGTGGGAAAGTACATTTTGAAATGTTTTATAACTTAAAATTCTGTATTGTTTGCTGGGTTTAGTAATATAATAAAAATAAATAAAAACAAGGTTGAAAAAAAAATTTATGAAATAATTTAATGTAAAATAGTTATTTTATGTTTTAATAAAGTCATTTATAGTAATATTTTATTAACACATACTTTTTCAGAACTTGTTCTGATAAGCTGATGCTCAAGAAAAAGTTTAAATTTATACATATGAATATTTTTCTGGAAACAAATAAATTTTTAAGGATTTCTTAATGAATATGAAAAACAGCATTTCATTGAAAAATAATAGGTTTTACAATCACATTTTATTATAAAATTAATACATTTTCAATCTGCCCAGTTGGTGGAATGAACGCCCTAACTGCATCAGAAAGGCAGTCACTCGCTGTCTTCAAGAAACGACTAAAAACTCAACTATTTAGTCTCCACTTTCCTTTCTAATCTGCAATTGCCTCTCTGGCTCCACCGCTAACTGTATTACAAAAAAAAAAATAATAATAATAATATATATATATATATATATATATATATATATATATATTACTAATGTTTTGCTTCTTACACTTTACATACCTGAAACTTGCCTACAGCACTTATTCATTGTTGCTTGTGTAAATTGCTTCCTTGTTCTCATTTGTAAAAAAAACATTTAATATAAAATATTTAATTTGGATATAAAACCTATACCAAACTAAAACACTGAATTTATAACAAACTGAAAAGTAATAAAAGTAATAAATTATTATTTAAAATAATCTGATTATAACTATAAGATTTTTAAAAAGGCTCCAGTGATTTTAATCCAAATACTGTAGTAATAAATGTTTCTCCCTCTTGTCAGGTGACATGAGCAGGCAGTGCACTCAGCCCTCTTCTTCCAGTCAGCCCTCGATGTTCCAGCAGCCAATGGAAGGCAGCAGTGCAGAGTCACGGGGTGTTGTCCAGATGCAGGCTGGGATGCCTGGTCTAGTTATGGCTCAGCTTCTCTCCCAGCAACACGCCATGTCTCAGCTCCTCACACACGCTCACACCCACTCACACATACCTCATCCTGCACCTCTAAAGACTCCTCCCAAATGCAATGTGTCGCCTCCAACAGTAACTCAATGTCCTTCTCCTGTCACCGACGTGTCACCTGAAATTTACCACTGGGTGCGCGAGGAGCTGAAGAGGGCAGGCGTTTCCCAAGCTGTGTTTGCACGAGTGGCCATTAACAGGACACAGGTAATATGACTTTCTCTACACACTTTATGATTATTCATCGAATGTCAATTTTTTTGTAAGGATTGGGCTGAATTATTATCATATTTAGAATTTTATTTAATATTTTTGCAATTTTTGTGACAAAGTTGCGTTTTGTCATTTTTATTTGTTTTTGTTTTTTAATATAACTGTATAGTTTTTATTATTATTATTTTATATATGCGCAATTGCGTTGATGAAGTTGTAACAAATTGTTTAAAGCTTGTTTTTTAATATATATAAATATATATGTTTTTAAAAATATAACTTAAAGGGGCTAATAATTTTGACCTTAAAATGGTTTTCAAAAAATTTAAAACTTCTTTTAATCTAGCCAAAATAAAATAAATAAGAGTTTCTCCAGCAGAAAAAATATTATCAGACATACTGTGGAAATTTCCTTGCTTTATTAAACAACATTTGAGAAATATAAAAAAAAATTATTGAAATATTGATTCATTATTGATTATTGATTGAGTGAGCCGGCTTAAAATCATTTAAAATATGTGACTATTCAAATTGGTTGGAATGTTAAATGAAATGTGATGCATGTTTTGAACAACATTAACCATTGTGTTTACTGTAAATGTGTTTAATATCCACAATTTTTTATTTTAAATATCTGCATAGTTTTATCACTAATATTTTTTATTATTAATGCTTTTTTATTAAACATCAAGTATACATCAACGATTTGCTGTGAGCTAGTTGAAAATTAAATCAAATATGTGATGACTCATATTGGTTAAATGAGTTGCGATGCATGTTTTGAACAGCATTGACCATTGTTCTTACTGTAAATAATTGTCGGTTCATTCTGCTGTGGTGACCCCTGATATTTAAGAAACTAAGTAGAAGAAGAATAAATGAATAAAAATAAATATTTTTAAACATCCAGTAGAGATGTAACGATTCACAGTGAGCCAGTTGAAAAATCCTTTAAATATGTGCTGATTCAAATCAGTTTAGATATTAAAGGAACTGTGATGCATGTTTTGAACAGCATTGATCTTTGTGTTTACTGTAAATGCACTCAACATGCATATTTTCTGCAATCAAACTGTAGCAAATAGTTCAGTTGCAGGGTTGTTGTATAGTCAGTAAAACTAGGGATTTTTACTCCTTTATTTGACATTAGATGTGCACCACAGTCTCCTTTTCCAAGTTTCTGATTGGCCAGAATTGCTTTATGCTTAAAGCAGGTCGCACACCAGAAGTGCCACTTGGCGCCACGACACGGCACGCACATGACAGTTTAAAGTATCGCACACCAGACGCGCACATTTGAATGATATTTAACATGCGCTCTGTGGCGCAGCTGAAAAATGAACTGCGTCCTGAGCCGTGGCCAGGCGCCGCCGACAGCCGCCGACTTGTGGCGCCGGTGTGTGTATCCTGATAGAAACCTATGTTTAGAATTCTAAAATGCATGGCGCTGCGTGGCGCACCGCCGAGCGGCGCTTCTGGTGTGCGACCTGCTTATGGGTTATATTGCCACTTGTTAGTTAGGCATACTCTTCACAGTGCAATATAGTGTCTTCTTGCATTTTCACATGGACAGAAAAATCCTGTGTTTCCATTAGTCTTGAATTAGTGCATTTCTAACCTGTATATAAATATTTATTACATTAAATATATATTAAATGTATATACCTTCTTGAACACATTATACGTGCATCTTTATGTCTGTTTATTTACATACAAATGAAACATTGGGTATATGGGTTAAAGACGGAAAGTCATTCATTCATTCGTTTGTTCATTCGTTCGTTCCTTCATTTATTCATTCGTTCGTTCATTCATTTATTTTCTTTCAGCTTAGTTTTGTATTTATCAGGAGTCGTCACAGCACAATGAACCGACATATGCACCAAAGTAAATTTACAAAAAATAAATAAATAAAATTGTGATTACATTACAAAGGAAGTAAATTAGTATAATGTCTTTAACGGTTCAAATTGTTTTGTTTTTTTGTAAAATACCCAACATATGGGTAAATTAATGTTACTTTTTTATCCAACATAACAGATTTATGAGTTTTTATGATTGTCCTATATATAATAATGAAACAGTAAACTGCTTACCTATTCTTGTAAAAATATATAAAACAATAAGTGATCATACTAAACTTGATTAAACATTAAATTATTAAAAACAAATGGGTAAAAGCTATGACGTAAAATCCGAATGTTAAATATAGATGACATTTAATTAGTAATGTAGGCCATTTATTATGTCATTATTCTTTTATTGTTTTTATGCTTCAAAACCGTTTCATCTTTGACCTAAATATAAAATGATATATCTAATTTATAATACAAAGTTTTTAGCTCTCATGTAAAATGTTTATTCTTTTTCAAATATTCTCCAAGTGCTGTTTAGTGGAGAGAAGATGTTTTTCCTCACTGCATCTTTAAATATATCGATTTTGATAGCTAATTTATAAACAATTTTTTTGTCTTTAAAATGATTACAGTAGTTATTTTGCTAGTTAATCTGCTGCATATAACATAAGCTTGATGTAATGGTGGTTCATTCATCTGTGGGGGCAACAGATTAATAAAGGGAATAAGCCAAAAAGAAAATGAATGAATGAATTTTGCGAGTTAATAGTATTTAGCTTAAAGTGTCATTTAAACTAAGTTAATTACTAGGATTACTAGGTTAATTAGGTTAACTAGGCAAGTCATTGGACAACAGTGGTTGTTCTGTTGCCTATCAAAAAAACAAAAAAATCTTAGGGGGCTAATAATATTGAAATTGGATTTTCATTGGATTTTAACTTATTTTTTATTCCAGCCTTTCACCAGGATAAAAAACATATTATAAAACACTGCAAAATATTTTCTTGCTCTTTAAAACATCACTTAAGAAATATTTGAAAAGCAAATTGAAATTTCATAGAAGGGTTAATAATTTAATCTTCAACTGTATAATAGTTTAATTTCATAGTCATGTTTGTAAATTGCATACTACTGTTGTGTATCTGTGCACATTTTAAAGCATCTGCCTCTGATATTGTCTTGCAACAGGGTCTGCTGTCTGAGATCTTGCGAAAGGAAGAGGACCCAAGATGTGCATCTCAGTCTCTATTAGTGAACCTGAGAGCCATGCAGAGCTTCCTGCAGCTTCCACAGAGCCAGAGAGACTCTATCTATGTGGAGGAACGAGAGAGAAACCTCAACACTGCCTACAACACTAATACAAGCTCACCTCTGCCCATTCAGGTTCACCCTCAGATTTGATTATAGACCTGACATGTATCATATATTGCAAAAAATGAAGAAGAAAAAAAACAGTTTCTAGTCCAAATATCTGAAAATTCTTAAAACGAGAAGCAATTTCTAGAAAGATAAGCAATATTGTTTTGTTTTCAGAAATAATAAGTTAAAATTAAGTGGGTTTTCCTTAAAACACACTAAATGATCTGCCATTGGGTAAGTAAAATAATCTTGTTTTTGTATTGAAATAAGATTATTTTACTTAGTCCACTGCCAAATTTTTATGCTTGTTTGGGAAAGAAAAAGAAATTTAGAAGTCATTATGTGAATAAAGAGAAGCATGTTTTTGCAGTGTACACTATTAATATGATTCTTATGCTTAAAGAAGCTTATTGTGCTCAACAAGGCTGCATTTATGTCATTCAAAAGGTTATGATTCGCACTCGTTAAATAATTACTTTATATAGCTTTGTTTTACATTCTTTTAAAATACATTGGACACACTAAGGAAGGCATTGTGCCGAAATGTCTGTTTAGTATCTCCTGAGAATGAAGTATAAAGCTATATAAAGTAATTATTTATCGAGTGCGAATTACACCCTTTTTAATTAAATTTTTAACAAGATTAATGCACCAAAATTAAAAAAAAACGAGAATGCAGACTTCATTACTGAACGTGATGCATTTTTGTAATACAAACTCCAGTACATATATAAATCATTACAATGAAAAATATCTGTTTTCTTATTCAATCTTGTTTAAAGTTTTGCTCATTCCTTTGATTTAAAGCTGATGTTTCAGCATGATTACTCCAGTCTTTAGTGTTAAATTTCAGAAATAATTCTGATCTGATGATCTAATGCCCAATTAAAATTTAGAATTATTATCAGTGTTTCTTATTTTCATATCATATTTTTGGAGGGTAAAAATCATGATGCAGTGCCATTCAAAAAAAAACATTAAAATCAGTTTTAAAAAAGTAAAAGACATTTATGATGTCTATAATAATGTAAAGACGTTTATAATGAAACATATATTTTTAAAATAAATAAGTTTTTTTTTTTACATTTCATCAAAGGATCCTAAAAATGAAAATCCTTGTTCACAAACCTGTGAAGCAGCAGAACATATTTTCAACATTGATCATATTATTAGTGATTAAATACCAGTAATAATGTATAATTAGAGAGCAGCAGATCAGCATATTAGAATGATTTCTGAAGGATCAGGTGCCACTGGGGTAATGATGCTGAAAATTCTACTTTGAATCACTGAAATAAATGAAATTTTAAACTTCATTCAATTAGAAAACAGTTATTTTAATGTGTTATAATATTAAACGTTTTGGCTTGATTTTTATATCATACTAATATAATTCTTTGAAAAACATAGAACCTTACCAATTACAAACTTTTGATCAAAATATGCTGTAATTTCAATACAACACATCTCATTCAAATGAATAAATAACATCAGTAATAATAATAATAATGATACAGTTTTAAATGATAGCTCATCCAAACTTTTAATTGTGTCATCATTTACTCACCATTTACTTGGTCGAGGGTGTTATTTCTTTTCTGTTGAACAATGTTGAAAAGCTGTAACCATTTCAGTATTTGTTTTTCCTACTATACAAGTAAATGGTTACAAGTTTACAACATTCTTCAGTGTATATATATTCTTATATTGTGCTCAACAAAAAAAAAAAACTAAAACTGGTAAACGGTGTGTACAGAATCATGAGAGAATTGTCATTTTTGGGTGTGCTAATCCCTTTAGGTGGCTTTTTCTGAACGCTGTTGTCATAAAAAAAAATCTGTCACCACAGGCCAAACTTTCTCCTGTTTCCAAGGATATTGTAGTGAAAGTGGAATGTGATGACACTGGAATAAACTACGGCATTTATGAAGAAATACAGCAAGAAATGAGGCGAGCAAAAGTGTCACAGGCCTTGTTTGCAAAAGTCTCTGCAGCCAAGAGTCAGGTAAATATATACATGAGAGATCGAATACATTTAGGCTAATTAAAAACCATGAAAAAAAGGTTCCACCAGCACATGTGTTAATTTATCAGATGCTTTTATCCAAAACTACTGTATATCATTTCAAATGCTGTAACAGTTAACGTCAGAATTATTAGCCCCTCTTTGAATTGTTTTTCTTTTTTTAAATATTTTACAAATGATGTTTAACAGAGCAAGGACATTTACACAGTAAGTCTGATAATATTTTTTTTCTTTTGGAGAAAGTCTTGTTTGTTGTATTTCAGCTAAAATAAAAGCAGTTTCTAGTTTTTTGAAAAACATTTTAAGGTCAAAGTTAGGCCCCTTTAAGCTCTTTTTTTTCAATAGTCTTCAGAACAAACCATCATTATACAATAACTTGCCTAATTACCCTAACCTGCCTAGTTAACCTAATTAACCTAGTTAAGCCTTTAAATGTCAACTTAAGCTGTATAGAAGTGTCTTGAAAAATATCTAGTGAAATAATATTTAATTTCATCATGGCACAGATAAAATAAATCAGTAATTAGAAATGAGTTATAAAAATATTATGTTTAGAAATGTTGAAAAATTCTATTCTTCTCTCCGTTAAACAGAAATCGGAGAAATAAATAAACAGGGGGGTTAATAATTCTTACTTCAACTGTATATATTTCATATAACACAATGAATATTTATATTATGTAGTGTAATGTAATGTGTATTTATATAGTGCATTTATCGTGTATGGCTATACACCCAAAGCACTTCACAATCATGAGGGCTGGTCTTTTCATTATTAAATAAATAAATGTGTATTGATTTTATGCAAATAATTAGTAATAATAAGAAAATAAATACATTAAGGGAGCAAAATCTAAAACCCTAGTGAAACTGTCTTTTGCTTTTTTTCTATTTCCTTAGTTCAAAACAGATTTTATTTTCTTTATAATCTGTTTTAAACAAAGGCATTCATATGGTTAGTTGAGTGCTGACCTAGAAATACTGCAGCATTTTAAACATTTCTAGAAAATTAAAAATTTATCTCCTGCATATAAATATTTATTATATATTTAAATATTTATGTCATGGAAGGCATTAATTATTTCTTATTCATTTTATATCATAACGTTTTCTCATTTCAAGTGGTTTGAGATCCTAAAACATTACATTAAACGTCCAGGTTAATATAAGGCATTGAATCAGATTTTCTACACTGTCTCAGATGTATTTCTGTTCTTGTATTATTAGGGCTGGCTGTGTGAGCTGCTACGCTGGAAGGAGGAACCATCTCCTCAGAATCGTACTTTGTGGGAAAACCTGTCTTTGATAAGGCAGTTTCTAAACCTCAGCCAATCAGAGCGAGATATTATATATGACCAGGAAAGCAATACTGGGCAGACCTTCTACTCAGAGAAACACACAAGACCACTGACTGAACAGCTGCAGGTTAGTGCTCATGCACTCCTCTTTCTATATAGTAAACAATTACAGTACACTCTGAGTAGGGCCAGACAGAATCTGCAGATATTTTTCTGCTATTCCCTCTGAGAATTTTGTAAAAAAAAATCTGCGGATTTATGTGGATTGATTTTAGGAGTATCGTAACTAAAAACATAATATACGAAATAAAAATATTAGCTTTTTAACTTTTATTTAATGTTTACAATGCAAATCCATCTATATCCACATATTTGGTAAACAAAGCAAGTCTATCATATATTACAGTATTTCTCAGTCACGTTCCTGGAGGACCACCAACTCTGCAGATTTTTCATGTCTCCTTAACAGAACACCTGATTCAGATCCTCAGCTCATTAGCAGAGACTAAAATACTGTATATTTAGTAATTATGACAGACAAAGGAGACATCCAAACATGCAGTGTTGGTGGTCCTCCAGGACCATGGTTGAGACACACTGATATAATATATCTACTAAAAGACAGAACATATTACTTTACAATCTGTATTGAAAATAAATCACATAAACACTTTCATATAAGTCGATAATATTGCTGAAAATAATTTAAACACTAAATAAATATACATTTTTCACAAGTAAACAAATAGACTGAATAGTGGGTTAAAAATCTACAGATTTCTGCACACGCAGATTTCGTGTGGGCCTAACTATGAGTAATCATTTACTGTGTTGATAAGCTTTATTATTTCTAATCACACATTGGAATGTATAGACTTTATAGATATAGATAATATCTAAATAATCTAAATAATTATTAGATTATATATATATATATATATATATATATACATATACATATACATATATATATATATATATATATATATATATATAAATATATAAATTAGGGCTGTCAAATTGTTAAAAAAATTTATGTAATTAATCACACTTTTTTTGCAATTAATCATGAAACACAATATTTATTACAGAAATAAAAACATTGGCATGTAAGTGCCATTTGAATTTCAAAACAATCAATGCCAATAACAAACAAAAATGATTTGCATGTTGGATTTTAAGTGGACTACAAACATACACACGCACACAGACAACGCTTGCAGTGCAGCACACGAGGTGAGCGAGGGATCCCTTCAGATTCATCAACATGCACGATCGCGTTCATCAAATTTGCCTAAACTAAGCATTCTAAAGTATGGCTGTAATTTACTAGTAAGGATTCTGGCACGGCAACGTGAAGCAGACACTTTACAAAAGTTGCGTGTTGGGGGAAACACGTCAAACTTATGAAATGTGAGGGCTTATGGAAGCAGCTTGAAGGCAGAGAATAGGGCTGTCTTTGACAGCTTGCAACTTTATCGGCCACTTTTACTGAGTACATTTACATGGACACCAATACTCTGTTTTTATGATTAAGATAATACTGATTAAGAGTCTACCATGCAAGCAGCGATTTTTGATTACCTTGCAGGATCACGAAGTGCGGAGGGTTTACTTTCTGTTTGCCATGCGGTATCAAACTCCATTAAAACATCCTGAATGAAAATATGTTGAATGAGAGTGAACTGCTGAACTGCAGTTGAAGTCTAAAGATTAAAAATGAAACACCCAAAATTGCATGAAACTCTGGAGGAAACACAGGATACCCTGGTGATGCGACATTAATTGTTTTATACTGAAACTTTCCTTCAGCCCATCCTTGGTGTTATCCAAATTTCTTTACACGTTAAACTAGGGCTGGGTGATTTTTTCGATTTTTTTCGATTAATTCGAATTTACGTTTTAAGACGATTTATTTTGAATCAAATCGAGAAATCGCGATTTAAAAAAATATATATATTTAATACATTATAATGGCACCAATGCGCTTTGGTTCACTCTCTGAATGAAGCAGGCAGCACACCAAAAGCACCATTCGGCGACGCCATGGATTCTAAACAGGTTTCTATACACACACCGACGCCGCCCAGCCACGATTCACGAAGCAGTTCTCATTTCAGCCAGCCCACAGAGCGCCATCTGATTAGTTTCATGTTAAATATCATGCGAATGTGCGCGTTTGGTGTGTGATAATTTAAACTGTCATGTCCGCGCCGTGTCGCGGCGCTTCTGGTGTGCGACCTGCTTGACTGCCTGTTAAAGCGTGAAGTCATGTAGGATTTTGCTTGTTGCACGTCTGTGTGGATTGTCAAGACATTCCCTCATCAAGTCGATAAACTCGATCTCAACATGTATGAAGGACGTAAAAACCTGCCATGTGAAAAACTGCCCCGATCTTTTGGTTTGAACACGAGTAGAAGTGAGGGACTGTAGCAGTGAAAATGAAAGTACCCGCCCCCATTACGTCATTTAGCGGACCTAGGTCAAAACCAGACAGATCAGGCAGCATAATACAGAGAGTGGAGCAAAGCGCATCAAATGATCGGCATTTAAAAGGGGGAAGAAGAAAAATAGATTAAATATATTATTTTATATTAGACACACATCTGGTGCTTGTATTTGCTCCTGCAAACTTCACACATTGGGTTAAATTAGGCTTTACAGTTTCCATGTTCAGTCCTTTTTCTTCCACTGTATCTTTTTAAGAAAAAGGCAGCAGCATTACAACCTGTCATTCAATCAGAAGACACAGCCAAAGCCGAGCTGACAGCCAATCTTTCCTAGGCTCAGCAAAACTTGCAAAAAATACCTCTGTATTCCTGCAACTGCAATATTTACACAAATATTTCTCATTCAAATCTTCAGCAATGCTTTTTAACTCGTGAATTTGTTTTACATTTTTTTACATCTTGACCGTTTTTTGTATGACATGGCCATTAAAAATACAATGTTCCTTAACCAGATGGTTTTTCAAGTTATTTTTAAAGAGAATGTTACTTCAGTCATGTTGTTGTAATGTTTTGAGAAGACTAGTAACACACTAAAAAAAAATCGAAATCATGAATCGGTCAAACTTTATAAAAAACCTAGATTTTTTTTTTTCTAAATCGCCCAGCCCAACGTTAAACACACGCAGGGCAGAGCAATCTGAACTGGTGCTCTAGGCAAACGGCAATCACGCTGCCCTCAACCCGAAAGTGAAAAAGAAAGTGACTGGTTCGCGGATGAACGTAAGGATAGTGAGGGAGGGGGTAGGTGTAGCAGATGAAAGTGAGGACCGTGGGGTTCGCTCACCATTCTGCTGCCTAAGGGAGCCACAACAGGAAATAAACTGCGGCTGCATTACTTGTGTTATTTTACTTTTTTTTTTTACACGTTAAATATTTCAAGTTAAACACGTGCCTTAATGTGCTAATTTTGACATCCCCAATATATATATATATATATATATATATATATATATATATATATATATATATATATATATATATATATATATTAGAGCTGTCAAAATTAACGCGTTAACTCATGCGATTAATTTGAAATAATTAACGCGTTAAAAAAAATTTACGCAATTAACGCATTTTTTTATTTTATTTTTTTCCTGTTGTGGCCAGGGGCAGACGCCAGGCAGTTTCCCGCTGTTTCGACGTACTTTTTTAGGCCGGGCTGATCATCTTCTTATGATGTGATCGGCCCATAAAACACTGAGCAGACTGTCATGTTTTTCTGCCTCAGTGATTGACGGTGCTGTGAGCTGTCACGCTCTGAAAGTAATGTTTCTTTTCCGGACAGACCGGCTGTGTGACATAATCTGCAGCCCATTGGTTCTTTTTTTTATTGACATTGGGCTGACCCAATCACAACCTTCCATGTTGGGCTCTGTGTAACCTAGGTGTGTATTTGTCAAAATAGCCGAGGATCACGCCTGTTTCTCACGCGCGGGTCCACCCCGCGGGAGAGCAGACTTTCGCGTCTACACTCTGGAGCGGGGCACAGATCAATATATTCCTGTCTATTCTTTCTAGTTACCTATCTGTCCATATAAACATACTATTTAAACTTTTAATCTGCACCACGGCCTCTGCAACTTCCTCCTGCTGTTTCCTGAACCTGGAAGTCTTTATTTTACAAATCATAAAGAATGTCTGCTTCTCAATTTCTATGAGGAGTGTCAGTCATGTATTTTAAGATGCACTCGGTCAGAAGACAATCGCATGAGATATCATGACATTGTGTTTTTGATCGTCAGCATGATGTAGGCTTATAGTGACAATAATATTTATACAATATATGTTATAATTTATGGAAATATTAATTCCTCTAATATATGGTTAATATAATGATATTTATACATGACCAAACTAGTGTGCAACTAAAGCAACTTTTTTACATTTAGTTTTGTAGTTCTGCCCAAACAAATATTTGTTGCATTTTTTAATAGTTTAAGTTCATTTGATTGACAATGTAAGATCTTTTAGCATCGTTTGATGTTTCATTGTTGAGATAAAAAAAATAAAATTAGGGTCTCTGACACATTGCTTTCATTATTTATCTTTATTTTATTAATCAACATTAACTGTGTGCGTCAGCAGGCAGTTTTTGTTATGTTCATTATTTATTAGGCTCCCTCAAAACACACAGGCACACACATTTCCAGTGTGGATTATAATTTTATTTTAATAATAAATAAAAAAAATGTAGTTTTTTTATTTGTCAACTCTCGTTATTTCCTATATATGGCTTTTGTGCTTAAAAAAAATGTAACCAATTAATCGCACTTTTTTAAAAAAATTAATCGCGATTAATTTTTTTTAAAAAGTGCGATTAATTAGTTAAATTTTTTAAACGATTGACAGCACTAATATATATATATATATATATATATATATATATATATATATATATATATATGGTCACACTTTACAATGAGGTTCATTATTTAAAGTTAAGTAATGCATTTACTAACATGAACAAACAATGAACAATACATTAACTACAGTATTCATTCATGTTATTAAACGTTAGTTAATGAAAATACAGTTGTTCATTGTTAGTTCATGTTAACTCATGGTGCATTAACTAATGTTAACAAGCACGGACTTGAATGTTAATAATGCATTAGTAAATGTTCAATTATGATTAATAAATGCTAAACAATTGTTGTTCATGATTAGTTCATGTTAGTAAATGCATTAACTAATGAACCTTATTGTAAAGTGTTACCATATATATATATATATATATATATATATATATATATATATATATATATATATATATATACTTGTGTGTTCTAATCATTTATTTGTATTTATTATATGACTATTAATTTGTTTTACAATGATTTACAGAAATGCCTACAGAAATGTCATTCGGCGAAACAATTGTATACCAGATGAATACTAAAACGTATTATCAGGTATAATGAATAAGTCCAATTATAGTTCAGCCTCAATTTATTAATTGTAATTTAAAATTGTTATTCTTTTTAATATACTTCCCACTGCTAGTGTTACATACATTATATCACAATTTATTAATATGGAAAAAAAAGTGATGATACTAAGTACAGGTCAGTATATTTTTACAACAATATAGTTGTTTATTATGAGATATTATTATGAGAAAATATCTTATTATCATGAGGGTGTTCCCCATTATTAAGAGAAGTCATTATCATGAGAATATATATCCTTATTATGAGAGCGTTTCTCATTAAGAAAAGTTAAGTCATTATTATGAGAAAATATCTCATTATTATGAGAGTGTTTCTCGTTATTAAGAGAAGTCATTATTATTAGTAAATATTTTTTGAGCGTTTTCATTATTATGAGAAGTTAAGTCATTATTATGAAAAACATCTCATTATTATGAGAGCATTTCTCATTATTATGATAGAAGTTCTCATTATTATGAGAAGTTAAATCATAATAAGAAAACATCTCATTATTATGAGAGCATTTCTCATTAAGATAAGTAAATTCAATATTACTAGAAAGTATTTCACTATTATGACAAAGTAAGCCATTATTATGGGAACGTTTCTCATTACTATGACTTGTAAATTAATATTTTTTAATGGTGGAATCAAGCCCTTTTGACTGTAAATGTTGAGTACATTTTCATTTTTCAACTATTCTTTTAAACCAACACAATAACCATAAAATGTATAATATTGATACACCTAAAAACAAAGTAATGTAATGTTTTTAGTTTGCTCTCATAATTGTTTAACATAATCTACATTTCTTTCTAAAGGTGATTCCACAGCATATGGTGGCTCTAAAGCAGCACCAACAACTGCACAAAATTCCACCTCAACACCATCAGCTCTTCCTCCAACACCATCTCATGGCCGGAAGTCTTAAAGACACTTACATGGCCCCAAATTTCGGAGGCAGGTCTTTACCACCGGAAGCCCATGCCATCCTGCAGAGTTTCATTCAGGAAGTTGGACTACATCCAGATCAGGAGGCCATTCACACATTATCTGCTCAACTGGGTGTAGCCAAAGAGGCCGTTCTCAGCTTCTTCAGTGGTCACAATTGGCTTAGACAAGAGCAAGACAACAGGAGAGAAATTGAGATTGAGGATGGAGAAGATGATTACATGGAGGCAGAGGATGAATTCGAGGAAAACATAGAGAAGACAAATGCAAGCATGATGACAGGGAAACAAGACCTTAGTGCAGATGAGCAGAACGCAGCTACACAAACTCGGTTTATCATTACTATTAAACAGGAGGAGGAGTTTCCATGCAAGGAGGAGAATGGTGAAAGCCCCGCCCACTGCCAGTTCATAAACTCATAAATATGCATACACTACTGTTCAAATGTTAAAAAATTACAAAATGAATACTTGTATTCAGCAAAGACACAGGAATCTATTAAAGGTCCCATGAAATTCAAATATTTTTTCAGATGTTAGTATTAGTCTGTAAGCTAGTGTGCTCAAAAACTAACATAGAAAAGTGATATAAGCATTCAAAGCTTGCAGTTTGTCACTTCCACCTAAATTGATTAACAGTTTTTTTAACGTCACCTCATACTTCATTTCCTCATCAAATCTTGACCAATCAAATGGTCTGTAGTATCTGACATGCCCCTCCCCCTTCAAGATGCTTCTCATTTGATGCGCTTGAGCTCAAACACCCAATTGGCAGAGCTGTCTTAAAACAAAATGCTATTGGCAGTTTTTTTTAAAGGGTAGAGCTACTCAGTCCCCCCTCTCTACATTTTTTAGTTGAGATTACGTCAAACAAATTTCAAAGCACTTCACAGACCTTTAAAAGTGACATGATAGACAAATGTGTAAAATGTGACAAATGCTGTTCAAATGCTGTTCTTTCCTATTTACATTTATCAATTATGAAAAATGTATCTTCGTTTACACAAAAGTTTACACAAAACTATATGCATATTGATGAGGTTGCATCTCGTTCACAATAGAGCGTGCTGATTATTTCTAACCAAGCCTTTCTCATGATCTCATCTCCAAATTAGTGGAAGAACGAATTTGCTCTAAACAATGCAAAAACAACCAATTTTCACTTGTTAGCTAAATATATGTGCCCTAAATTTGTTTTTGGTGTTTTGTCATCATTTAAGGTATTCTATAAGCTAGTGTGCTACAAAAAACATGACAAAATTTTTATTTAGAAGATATAAACATCCAAGGCTTGCAGTTTGTCACTTTTGCCTAAATGGACCAATGTTTTTTTCACCTCATACCTCATAACTGACTTGCCCCACCCCCATCAAGATGCTATCCGCTTGTTAAGTGTGACGTCACACAAATTGGCTTCCAATCGCTGTATCAAACTGTATGCGGAGACTCAACATATGGTAATAATAAACATTTTTCAAATCGATGTAATACTTTTGAAAATCGCAATCACAATATATACATGCATGAATAATATCTGATGGCCAAAAAGTTGTACATTTTTTTATAAATTGTTAAAATATTGCAGTCTGTGATGCAGCAAGTCAAGAGACTGTTGCGTACACCATGATTTTTATAAAAAATCACTTTAATGTGTGATAGGACTAAAAAGTGGTCATAAACAAATATTTTCTTAATACAAACGAGGACCCGAAAACAGTATTTAATATGTCATGACTTAACAAGTGGTTATGTGCTTAGGCTAAACAACAACAACAACAAAAAATTAAGGGGGAGGAGCTACTCTAAGTCCTACTGTCTTCATGTTGCAGTTCAAATTACATTACAGAACAAAAGTGCACATTTCAAGGCACTTCATGACACCTTTAAGGCTGGATTAATGATGCTGGAAGTTCAGTTTGTTTTCACTGGAGTAGATTACATTTTAAAATATACTTACAATATACACAGAAATTTCACCGATTTTTACATACGCTCCCTGGTCACTATATTAGGTACACCTTACTAGTACTGGGTTGGACCCCCTTTTTCCTTCAGAACTGCCTTAATCCTTGGATATATTCCTTAGAGATTTTGGTCCATATTGACATGAAAGCATCACGCAGTTGCTGCAGATTAGTCAAATACAAATCCATGATGCGAATCTACAGCAATAGAGTCACCACATCCAAAAGGTGCTCTATTGGATTGATATCTGGTGATTGTGGAGGCCATTTGAGTATAGTGAACTCATTGTCATGTTCAAGAAACTAGTCTGAGATTTGAGTCCACAGAACTGCTGGTCACTGGATATTTTCTCTTTTTCCAACCATTCTCTGTAAACCCTAGAGATGGTTGTGCGTGAAAATCCCAGCAACAACCATGCCACACTCAAAATTACTTAAATCACCTTTCTTCACAAATCTGATGCTCGGTTTGAACTGCAGCAGATCATCTTGGCCATGTCTAAATGCACTGAGTTGCTGCCATGTGATTGTCTGATTATAAATTTGCGTTAATGAGTATTTGGACAGGTGCACCTAATAAAGTGGCCGGTGATATGTATTTTTCAACACATACATGGAATTTGGCCAACCATAAGAGACTTTTAAAAACATCCAAAATTCTTTCAAAACCAAACTTTTGAACAGTAGTGTATTAAATCACATACAAACACATAAACAGCAATGAAAACCGGGTGATTTGACAGTTTAATGTAGCGTATTTACTGTTGTGCCTTTACGCACAAGGTGTTTTGCTAAAACCTCAAGACTTTGAATGGACTATAGAGATGGAATACTGAGGATTTTGTGAAGAAAATGCCACGGAAAGCATTAAATGAATCTCACTGTTCTTATTTATTAATAATATGTCATATTAGTATTATTATTAGGGGTGCAAAAAACGCTTCTGTCTAACAATGGAGTTTGTGGTTGTAATATTTAAAGCAAACCGAGTCACCATTTTTCAAGCATTGAATCACAATTGAATCATTGTTAGAGCAAATATTTACACCCCTGCACTAATATAATTTGCAATTTTATAGTAGTGTTATTTATTGTTTGTCTCTCATTTTCTGCAGTGTTAACGGTGGCGTATTCAACATACAACAACTGTTGCCCAGAGACTTTGAAACCATGATGTATTATACAGTATGTTTAGAAGGAAAACGGCACATTACTGTATTATTGTCAATAGAACAAAACACAATAGAAAAAGCACTTTGAATTACAGTGAATAGTTCTCTCTCTAAGGAATTACAATAAATCTGTACTGTTTGTTACTGTTCATTTTATTTAAGGTCATTTTTTTCAAGAACCAGAATGAAATTAGGCTTTATATGGATGTTCAATATGACGCTGTTTTTGGTGATAACTTTATTTTCATGCTAATTAGTGTTAGCTGACGGTGCTGTTGCCTTAAGCAGTTTTTTTTTTTTTTGCTCAATCTTAAATTAAGTTTAATTATTCAGACACATTCACCACCTGCTACTTCCATTTTCTCACATTTATTCTTGTATGGTATATCGCTCTAAAAGGGGGTCAGCACTGTTGGATATAAAAGAAATGCATCAATTTTTTATTGTTCATTTACTAATTTAGCATTCAACAGGAATTATAGTACTGACACTACAGGACTGTCACCTACAATTAATAATAACTATTTTCTTCATTTCTCACAAGCATTAAGTGCAGGAGCCCTTTTTTGTTATATATCCATATATCTATTAAATAAAAGGAATTATATAAAACAGTGATTCTCTACCGGTGGGCTGAGCCCAGTATAGCAGGCCTCAGCAATCCTGCTGGTGGGCCACGAGCTTAAAATTAAACCTCAACATTATACTATAACTTTGAAATTTCATTAATTATATGCTGTATTAAAATGATCGAAGTAATGCTTTTTCTCCTGTTCTCTGATTGATTACTTCATGAGGCGCAAAAACAGCCTCATGATTGCATCTGCAACTACATGTACGTCTGTTCATTCACAATCTATGCGTGAAGTAAAAGCGAGTCTCTGTATTTATGTGTGAACTATTTAATATATCCGCATAGTTGTCTAAATTAATGTCCTGCGAGTATTTTATAATGGATGCGTCGCACACCCATCAAGAAGAATCTAGAGAGGCTCAATGGTGTTTTTGCCATAGAATCTAAAATAAACATATGAGCTTCAGACATGCTCTGGCGGAGCGATTCACTCCTCCTGTCAGCGATCTCCCAATAATATCCAGCTGCAAACTCGAAATCCATCAGATTGATGCGTTTCAACAGATTTAGGGTGTTTACTATACTATACATTTATCTCTATTTTTTAAATATATATACACACACATTTGAAGTCAGAATTATTAGACCGCTTGTTTATTTTTTTCCCCCAATTTCTGTTTAATGGAGAGAAAAAAAATCCAACACATTTCTAAACATAATAGTTTTAATAACTCATTTCTAATAACTGATTTATTTTATCTTTACCATGATGACTGTAAATAATATTTTACTAGATATTTTTCAAGACACTTTTAAACAGCATGAAGTGACATTTCAAGGCTTAACTAGGTTAATTAGGTTAACTAGGCAGGTTTAGGTAATTAGGCAAGTTATTGTATAACAGTGGTTTATTTTGTAGATTATCGAGAAGAAATATAGCTTAAAGGGGCTAAAAATTTTGTCCCTAAAATGGTGTTTAAAAAAATAATAACTGCTTTTATTCTAGCCGAAATAAAACAAATAAGATTTTCTCCAGAAGAAACAATATTATCAGACATACTGTGAAAATTTCCTTGCTCCGTTAAACATCATTTGAAAAATATTTTAAAAAGAAGAAAAAAATTTGAAGAGGGCTCTGGTATGGTATGGGTTTAAGTGAACTGTAAAGATTTCATTATTCCACAAAGGTCTAAATGTCAAATACATATATTGTGATTTAGAGCATTTTAATACCAATTCATCAGAAACATAAGTGTTTTGTTGTTATTGAAAATCTGGGCTGTTCCATCAAAATATTTAATGCAAAAAGGATATTTACTTTTGGGAAAAAAGTTTACAATTGTTTACAAAAATGACACTGAATTTATGTTTTACTCAAACACAAGAATTTTCAAGTGGTTTCTTAATTCCTGACTTAAAAAACTCAATGTTTAAAGAGTTTTGGTGCCATATGCTGAATTTAAAGATTTGTCTATAATCCAACTATGGCATTTGTATAATGAGATATTTCATGAGATTTTCAATACAAACAACTTTTTTTTTATTTTTATTGTGCAATTTGTAAAACAATCAAAAACAAAAGTTCCAAAGATAATTAACCTTCAAATAACAGGAAAAACAAAATGGAAGATATTCACAAGATGCCAAATACAGATTCATAATAAGCTACGATAGATAGAGCTTTTACATTTTTTACAGCTTTAAAAGACTTCATTAAAAGAATAAGGAGATTTTGAAAGAATTTTTGGATAAAGAATTTACCACTTAAAATTATAAAATTAACAAAATTGTAAATTCTTTATCATTATCAAAATAGCAAATATTTTCTTTTGCATTCAGTGTTATCAGCATATTTATTTCAGCAGATTAAGTAAAAAACTATATAATCTTTCCAAAATGATTGCAAACTCAGTCAAGTGACATAAGGATTTCTTTTTACAAAAGGAAAATTTTTTTCCAACTATCCGAAAATTTAGAAATATAAACAATATTTGTATACAATACACAAAATAACATTGTCAATAAAAATGATACAAAGACAGAGCTAGAAAGAAAGATATATATATATATATATATATATATATATGTATATATATATATATATATATATATATATATATATATATATATATATATATATATATATATATATATATATATATATAAGCAGGAAAGTTATGGTTTTGTATTAATAAATTTACATTTGTTGATGTAGAATACGCAAAAAAAAAATACATTTATAAAAAAACAAGCATTTCTTTTAGCAGAAACAGGTTCATAATAACCAAAAATAACATCTTTGAAAGTAAAAAATATGTCTTATTGTATATTATTATAAATGGGCAAATATGTTTCTAAAGTTGTAGGCCACAACAAAGTGAGAATCCCAAAATAAATGAATTTCGTTTTGTTTTTTTGAAAATGAAAAAATTAACATTTTCATAAAGTGTTTATTAGGATAAAGTCTGTTGATTAACTTTAAAGATACTTTTTTATATATATTGCATTATAACACAAATACAATAAGGCGATTTTTGCTTAACAACTTTCATCTACATTGATAGAACAGAGTACAGAACAATTATTAAGATAATAATTCAAATAAATAAAATTTAAACATAGACATAAACAAAAGTTATTTACACTACTGGGTCTTTTCAATAAACTAAACAGTCATCCCAATAATTTTGATTTTACCAACTTTATATATTTACAGTATAACCAAAATTCCTTTTGCAAAACCAAAAACAGTAGTTTTGTTTTAAGGCACTTGCATTTATGAATAAAAAAATTCTCCAAAATTAAAATACTGTTCAACACAAACTGAATATTAACATCTTCCCATAATAAACCAAATAAAATATAATTTTAGACAACTTGAGAGAAACTTTTTAACCACTCAAACGAATCAGACTGAGGCGAGGCAGTAGCGCAGTAGGTAGTGCTGTCGCCTCACAGCAAGAAGGTCGCTGGGTCGCAGCTAAGTTGGCGGTTCATTCCGCTGTGGCGACCCCGGATTAATAAAGAGACTAAGCCGACAAGAAAATGAATGAATGAATTAATCAGACTGCTATATAAACAGTCAAAAAAAAATTTGTCGTTTTAATGGCAACCTCATAGAATGTACAATTATTGTGATCAAAAGAAGATGAAATATCATTAAATATTTTATAGTGTACTTCTCTAGCTTTGGAAGGTATGGGGAAGGAAAGAAACATATTTCTTAAGTCGATAACAGAGCTCTTGGAAAAAAGAAAAGACACATTATTTCTTGCTTGTATTAGAAATTTATCTTGGGTTAATATTGATCTTTTTATTTTATTAGGTATTTCACTCTGAATAAAATCTTTATCAACAAATAAGGCAGATGAAGTGTTTCATTTATATTGGTGGCCACATACTAACCATCATTACATTACATTACTTTCGGAATAGATTGCAATTCCCTATTGTATTGCTTATGATCAAGTATCCTATTTCACAAAAAGTACCTGACTCAGAACCTCACTCTCTTTGTCTAATAGATGTACAACCGACCAAATACCTCTATCACACACCAATCCTTATAGAAAAAAAAGATTTGTATCTTTAAAAAATTACCTATTGTTCCACATTGGTGAATTTTGTGGGGGAAAATGATGTTTGTAAATTAATTTCCAGTTGAAATTCTGATAATTTAAGAGGGAGTTTTTGTATTTAAAAACACAACGTAATGAAAGATCTACCACTTACACTCTTGAAAATATTCTTTGAAATATCGCGCACTGCAATATTGTGATGAAGTCGTTGATGCTTCCCGTCAGGAGTCACGTGCTTGATCAGCTGTTCTGCGGCACATCCGCCTGACTCGCGCTCTGCTCGACTGTTTACATGCAGACCGCACGGGACAGGATGGGCAGACCCGCGTGAGCCATTGCAGGTAAAATACCACCTCGATTCACTTTATTGCATCCAAACCGAGCTTTACGGTTGTCGGAGCGTTTGTCGATAGCGAATACGGTGACGTCAACAGCGTGAAACGTTGCGCAATGATTCATGTCGGAAGTGTTTTGGTGCCAGACACGCAAGGCCTTCAGACTCATGATATGCATAAGTAAATCCTGTTTCATTTACTGTTATTTTTATGTGAGACTCTAACAATAGCCGTAAGAGACGTGCAGCATGCCAAGTGAGTTTTTTTATAACGAACACTTTGAAATATAACTTGATATTTTGGCATTAGGGGCGTCTGGAAGTTTCACATCATTTTTTTTAGGTTATGCAGTAATATACTGTAACATTACATATTCTCTTTATCATTATTGTTTCTCACCATTAGGAAAAATGTCATGTTTTGTTAACTAACAAATGACAAGGCTTGCATCCTCATTTTAGAGATGGAGATGGTTCGAGAAGGTAGCCTTGTAGTTCTATTTCTAATGGATGTACCAGGCTTTAGGACATATTCCACCTTTAAATTCAGAATAAGATCTGAATGATTTAGTCTTCTTCAGTCAGGATTATGTGGCCATGGCTATTGAGGTCAATTTTGTTTTTACATTCGCACATTCAGATGTTCTTCTTAATAATATAATTAGTTTTAGAAAAGTATTACTTGCAAATTCTAAATAGGGAAATCATATTACTGAGGGAACGTTTGTTTATATTTGCTCAATGTTGTTCTTTGATGGTCATTGGCTGCTAATATGATTTCACTGTTTAGAATTTGAATATTTGCTGATATTAATAAGCAGAAAGTCAGAACGTGCGAATATAAAACCAACTTTACCTAAATAGTCATATTATCAGCCAATGACTATCAAAGTATAACGTTGTTCACAGTCAATGAAATAGTGCTAATGTTGTTTTGAAGTTGTACTTGCATGGTAATTCAGACTGAATATTCAAAGTAGCATAAGTAAACAATATTTGGACCGTTAATTGAACACATGTGCAAATATACAATTTTACCTTTTTTTTTGCCAAAAAATTAAAACTGTTTCTGCTTTTTTGTGTAGGCAAGTATTTTACAGTACTTTAAAAATACTCAAATTCTATTCGATTTACCAAAAGCACATAAGTGTCATTTTTAAATCTGTCACATCCATAACGGAGAGATGTCACAGCCATATTGGAGCTTTTCCCTCATAAATGCAAAAAAATGTCAAATAAAATAAAATCAATTATTTTTGTTCTATAGTGAGCTGACTCTTATCCTTTTGTTTATCATTATTTCTTTTGGGATGTGCAGTTTTATTCAAATAATTTAAAGTATGTTGAAAACTGTAAACCCTCAGACTTTTTTTTGTAGCATCCATAGTGTATATTTATTTATTTGTATTAAAAATTTTAAACATTTTTACATACATATTTTTCTGCTCCCATAACTCTGGTTAGTTGTTTTGAAAAATATAAACAGATGTTTTAATGTAATGTTAACGTATACTTTCTCTGTGAATTTATGTTGTGAGATTTTACTGCAAATGTCACATCCATATTGCTGGAAATGCTAATTTACTTTTTCTTGTACAAGGCAGAGAAGTCTTTTAAAAGCCCTGATTCTGCTCTTTAGCATTATCAATTTTCAATATGAAAAAATGCTGATAATTAAAAATTTTATGTAAATAAAAAAGTGACTTTTTACAAAAATTAGCAATTGCTGACATTTAAATTCTAAGTAAGGCAAATGAGATGTCAGATAAATGTAAATTTATCAAATTAAGTAAATTAACAATAAAGTGTAAATTATTTTAAAACTAAAATGGCAAAATTATAAGCAACTAAAATTAATTTTCTAAATGGAAATCACTCCTTTGATTTTGAAGTGGTAAATGTAATCGAATGTGATATTTTTTATTATTTATGAAGTTCTATATGTAACATTTAAATGAATTAATGAAGCATGATGTTTTAAGGATTTTAAAATTAGCTTTGGACCTGAAGGCACATAGTTTGAACAACAAATAAAGACTTGCCATGGCATCACAAGACCAGCTCGCCGCCTGTTCTCTCATTCTCTCTCTGTCTCACACCCACACAGACACACGCACTCAAAATTGGTAACGTCTTAGTTAAACGCCTGTCATGCTGCTGTATCTAACATAAACAAACCATGTCAGATTGCAATTAGCAAATGGCCTCAGTTAATCTCCGCTAGAAGACAGAAGCGCACTTGCAAATGGTAGAAAACACCTTGTAGTTTCTTGACCTCGCATTTAAAGAGAAGAGTGAAAGTCCATTGATAGTTTGTGATCTCATGCGTATTGCAGAAGCAGACTGTAACACATGCACAATAATATATTACTGCTTTAATATCATGACCCAGCATATTTCAGTGCTAATGTCATAACGGAGGGTTTTGAGTTTACCCAGCAGCTTGCAGAATTCCTCGGAGTCATGTGATTGGTGCAGAAGCTGTGCGCTGTAATTGGCTGATGAAGTGAAGGCATGTGAGTGTGTTTAAACAGGTTTAGGGCTGGTCTGCTTCTGTAACCCTCATTATCGCTGCACCCACAGGCGTTTGGATGTAATGAGCTGGATTTTGCCTTCTGAAAGTCCTAGCTGAAATGTTTAGTGGGCTGCAAGAAATATGTTTTTTATTTCAACATAAGATTATTTTGCTTATCCCATTGGCAGATTATTTACCTTCTTTTAAGGAAAAACTCACCTAACTCTTATGTACTGTTGGGGATGTTTTCATTGGGGGGATTTTAAGTCTTAGTTTAGCTGTAAGTGTTTGTGTTTCCGCTAGTGGAATGATCTTTGGTGACAAATATTGTTTTGACACATATTTTGAGCAAATGCTTTGAATTAAAAAAACCTCAGCGATACACTCTGGGCAAATTTACTACCCAAATTGACTACCCTTTTGTAATGGTAGAGATAAAAAAATCCACTGATATAAACTGCTGCAAAAAATGCATCAGATGAATATTTAAAATTTTTTTTTTTTTGCATAAATCTGTTAATCTCTTACAGGATTTGGAGAAAAAAACACACAAAATGACGTTACAAAATTGATTTTTTTTTACCTTTTATCAAAGTCTTGGACATGGAAAACAACATTGCCTTTGATGCATTGTTTTCAATTAATTTTCCTTTTTTTCTCCTTAATTTACTGTTGGTGGTGGCGGTTTTTGCCCCATTGACTTCTCTTATAACCACATTTTTTGATTACAAAACCATGACACCATATAATCATGCATTTTTGATTATTGGTGGTTTTACATGTTTACATGTTACATTTTACATGTCATCTTTATTGTTAATCATCAATTGGCACCCTTAACCCTTTAGTTACGCCTGTGCAAAAAAAGCTTAGTATCTGGATTTTATATGGAGTACAACAGCAAATTACAGTGTGTGTCCATGAGTGTGTGAGAGTAACCTTTACGCATTTACCTTAATGTGTTTGAGAATATCAAAGTATGCATCTCTGGGGTTTGTTCTTCGTACCTCGCTTAAATGATCTTAGATGATTTGGCAGATCCTGGATCTTTTAATCTTGATCACTGATCTCTGGCTAATTTGGTTCTTCAAACAAGTTCGCGAATCAGATTAAAATCTCTGGATGAACTGATCAGAGATCGCTGTGTGTTGTAAAAGACAGATCTATCGATCCTCGAAATCATGATCAGCAATGCAATGGTCTGCTTACAGCAGAGCAGAGTAATGACCTCATCTGTTTGATATTCAATTATCTATTGGAGCAAAATTATATAAAATTCACAGTAAACAGTTTGTTAAATATGATGCGCAATAACTTTCCACCTTTGTTCTGGGTTGCAGGCTTTACACTTTCATGGGTCAAGAGTGTTTAGCAATTCATTTAGTTTTACATTTTGAGTGCATTTTCTATAGCCTAGGCCTATTCAAGTTTCTTAATCATCGAAAGGAACAGGAACTGGTTGTTTAACTTAATTTTGCATCAAAAAAGTCATGCAAAAAATTTGCATGACTGCAGAAATTATTATTCCTTAAAAAAAAAAAAAAAAAAAGTTGCATGTCTAATATCATACACAAATTGTGCTGAAGCTGGTACCTTAAAATAGGAGTTGCTTGTATCTATCGAAGTGCAGATTACTTACATTTTATTTCTATATTTTAAAAATAATAATAAAAAATTATAGATTGAATTATTATTATTATTATATATATATATATATATATATATATATATATATATATAATTATATATATATATATATATATATATATATATATATATATATATATATATATATATATTTTTTTTTTTTTTTTTTTTTTTTTTTTCCCAAGTGCATATATAACTACAATTGTAAGAAAATACGGTATATACTTTTAGCAATACCTTCGCTTGGAAAGACCCAATCTAATTTAGTTTATATGAGATAAGTCTGGTTCTGAGCAGGTTTGAGCTACATCTCTCGGATGAGTTTTGAAGAACGAAACAATTCTGGATCATGTCATGTCAAATTGTCAATAACCAAATCCAGCTAATTGAGTTTAAGTAATGGACCCCAGCTCTCAGAACTGCATGGAGTAAAAAAAAAAAAAGCAAAGACTACTGTTTGTATTTGTGCAGCACCAAATGTGGTTAAAATGGAAGTCACAGGGGGCAAAAACAGCCACCAACTGTAAAATTAGGGAGAAAAATTTCAAATACAACAATGCATCAAAGCCAGTGTTGTTACTAATCGTTCACATGTTCAAGACTGATAAAAAATTTTAAAAATCCAGTCCACAATTACTTTTTATATTGAAAACACGTAATTTTTGTGTTTTTTTTTTTCACCAAATCAGTGACCTCATTTGTGAACTTGGCAATTAAAGAGTTAAAATCCTGTAATTTTCTAAACGATTTAGTAGTTTTGATCAGCACTGAGGTTTATTTAAAGATTTATGCAAAAAAAAAAATATATTTTTTTTAATCTAAGGCCCCGTTTACACTAGTGCGTT